GACAAGCTCTTCAAGCACATGATCGCCGCAGACTTTGAATATTTCCTCAACTTGAACAACAAATCCCCAGAATTCCTTTCACTGTTTATCGACGGCAAATTGAAGAAAGGTGAAAAAGGGGTAAGTCTCAATTACTTCGTACTACTAACGTTACCTTACTAATATTATAAATCAAAAATGTTTGGATGGATGGATGTTTGTTTTAAGGAATCTCCAGAAAGGATGCATGAATCCGGAAGTCAAGAAGAGCATAATATAGGCTACTAATTAATATTTTTTTAATTCTCCGCGAATTTAGTCGCAGGCCACAACTAGTTTTTACATAATCTACAATTATTTTTTTCATTTGAACTCAACTGACTCAGATATAAGGGTTATTTCTATCTTTTTTTATAGTTGTCTTTAAAGACTAAATTGTAAATAGATTAGTCAAAATTTGTTTTAAATTATTGAACAACTTATTTTCAGATGAGTGAACAAGAAATAGAGGCGGTGTTAGACAAAACGATGGTATTGTTCCGTTTCCTACAAGAGAAGGACGTGTTTGAGAGATACTACAAGCAGCATCTCGCTAAGCGACTATTGCTCAACAAATCCGTCTCCGATGACAGCGAGAAGAATATGATCTCTAAACTGAAGGTAACCTTATCGTGCTCAATTAACATTCACTTTGATACTATTGTTATAGCCTTATTCATATATTTATCTGTCTTTCATAAGTATGAGCATAGTGAGAGATGTATGTTAAAATAGAATTTAATTTCCTAGTAGCCTGATTTACATACGAAAGTGATTTATTTTTAATATTACTGTGTTTGCTTTATAAAATAAAACAATAACGAAATTTGATTTTTTTTTAATTTCGTTAGAAAGAATATTATACAACAGTAAAATAGGTACAGCCAACCTATAAAAAAACTAAAAGTAATGTGAACATTCGGTTTAAAAGATTGGTATCAAAATTGAAACTAGGCTACTAAGGGTTAACATATATTTGAGTGAATGCACAAATTATATAAATCTATTAATATATCTTTCAACATAACTCATATTTAGTACATAAGTTGTTTTGTAAACTTAGTCATTGTAGGAATGTGCAAAGAAATAATAGGATAAAAATATTAATGTATTATTTAAATTGGAAATATCAATTATCCGGTCTAGTTTTTATGTAATTTTATTTCCCAGAGAGAAGGTTTGTTGATTGAAATGGAGCCGCGAGCGTTTCATTGTGTGGTCGGTGACGTCTCACAAATAGAGTCCCCTCTCAATTAATTATAAAAATGCAGAGAAACATTGATATATACAGCAACCACTGCATTGCCTTTCTTGTCCACGTACTTCTGCAAAATTCTTTACAATACCATAACTTGCATCTTCGTAAGTCATTATAAATGTCAAGTTGAATGTTTGTAATTGTAAAGTTTGTATCTTGCTTAAAGTCTATTTGGAAGGCAATTTGTTGAATTTATATTTTGTAAAGAATTTTGCAGATGAATTTTATAATTTTAAAAGACTTTAAGCAGGATAATTTGTACCTGTATATATTTTAAACGTACATTGTATTGCGATTTTTGATTATATAAATGCCATTTAGTACCACAGACTTTTAAATTAGTTTGCATCGTAGCGGCATTATTACCGATGTGTTAGGAGATTTCATTAGTTTTTGTAAATTCTTATATATGTTTTAAATTAATGTTTTTTGTCTATACATTGCGTTTACGGAATTTTAATTTTTTTAAACATTTCTTTTCAGACTGAATGTGGTTGCCAGTTTACATCAAAGTTGGAAGGAATGTTCAAAGACATGACTGTATCCAACACTATTATGGAAGAGTTCAAGGACCATGTACTTTCCGCGGGGGTAAATTTATTTTCATTTCTACTCTACACATAGACAATGTGTGTATTATGATTAAAGTTTCTATCTTAGTTATAATTTAGTAAGATAATGTTTCTATTGTATTGCAGACGAATCTACACGGGGTGGACCTGTCGGTGCGCGTGCTGACGACCGGCTTCTGGCCCACACAGAGTGCAACACCTAAGTGCAATATACCCTCCGCACCTAGAAACGCTTTCGATGTATTTAGAAGGTGACTGATGCTTTGTTTTCATATTGTAAGGTTATTAATATAAATTGAATATTTTTTGTTACTTCAGAATACTTGAATTCATTTCGGCTATCGAAGTGGTCTTTTGAGTCGGATACAGAGTAGATTAAGGATCGAAAAGAACGCCTTTACCGTCAATTAAAATTCTGTTTCGATTGCTTGCAGCTTCTACTTGGCGAAACATTCTGGACGGCAGCTCTCGCTACAGCCACAGCTGGGCAGTGCCGATCTACACGCCACGTTCCGCGCGGCTGGCGGGGCGGGGACAGGAGCGGGCAGCAGCGCCGCGCTGACGGGAGGAGGGGGCTCGCCGCCGCACTCACCGCCCGCCGCGCCGCCGCCCTCAACCGTGCCCTCCGCCGCCGCCGCCGCGCCACGCAAACACATCATACAGGTCTCCACCTTCCAGATGTGCGTACTGCTGCTCTTCAACAAGCGCGAGAGACTCACTTACGAGGTACTGTCCTACTTTACATCAGATAATGTATCCTTAATATGTTATATGTCAACGGTAATTGGATAAATTATTTTTAATTTTAGGAAATTCTAAACGAGACTGACATTCCTGAGAAGGATTTGGTGCGCGCGTTGCAGTCGCTCGCGATGGGCAAGCCCACGCAGCGGGTGCTCATCAAGCACCCCAAGACAAAGGAAATCGAGGCCGCTCACCAGTTCTACGTTAATGATGCATTCACCTCCAAGTTGCACAGGTTATTATGCATATCATAGTAACTTTCTTTGTTTTACTTTTATTTTAACTTAAATTTTAATCTTGTTTTTGTAACTTGCAGAGTTAAAATACAAACGGTGGCGGCGAAGGGCGAGTCGGAGCCGGAGCGGCGCGAGACGCGCAACAAGGTGGACGAGGACCGCAAGCATGAGATCGAGGCCGCCATCGTTCGCATCATGAAAGCCCGCAAAAGGATGGCGGTACGACATATACTCGTTGACAACTAGTGGATTGTAATTAAATAATTTAGAAACGTGAATATTAATTGTATAAATTTGTTGTATTGTGTGCAGCACACGTTGCTGGTTGCGGAGGTGACGGAGCAGCTGCGCGCGCGCTTCCTGCCCTCGCCTGTCGTCATCAAGAAGCGTATCGAGGGCCTCATCGAGCGCGAGTACCTGGCGCGCACGCCTGACGACCGCAAGGTCTACACATACGTCGCATAGGTGCGTCACACGACCACTCACCTCACCACCCTCCTCCTCGCACACCCTCACACCCTCACCACACACATACAACACAAAAACCGTGGGTGTGACTATGCGAATTACCATCTCGTATCCATCTTATACAACTGCGAAAACTCAGAGTCGATCCAACGCTTCACTTCTCTACGTGGCCTTTTGCTTTTAAGTTTGTTTTAATTAAATATTAATAAAGTACATACTAAAATGGTTTATGTAAAAATAAATGTATATATTAATTTTGAATGTGGCTGTAGTCTCGTTTCAATGTATCATAAAAGTGTTCCTCGTAATTTCTTAGCATAGTTACAATGAATTAAATATTTCTCTTTTGTAACACACTGTTTTATTACACCGATATTACCCTTGTTTTGAATGTGCACTCGCCACGCTAAAATGGGTTTTATTTTCAGGCCATCAGTGTCGAGACTCGTTTGTCCACGACGTGTGGATGCCAAGTTAAAGTGATAGAAGTAACAAAAGTAAATAAATTATTTCAAAATAAAAATTATTAGTTAACATTCAAAGTTATTTTATTTTAAAACATACAGAGTTATGAGAAACGAGTAGAATATGAGATAAATGTTACATTTACTAATAGAGGATACATTCGAAGGGAATGGGAAAAAGAAATCTCTTGGCAGATTGAGATTCAAATGCGGAGGTGGGGCGAGGACGCGCCGATTCGCAGACTTTATATTTATAAAGTTAATATCAATAGTTATCACAGTTGTGTACTCTTCAGACTGAAATGTCACATTGCTCGGCGACCCATCCAAAAGAACTCCCAACAACTTTTTCCCCATACCAATATCACTTAAATCCGCATAAGTAAATACAAACGCGTATCTTGTACATATATTCAGACATTGTAATTTAGATCTTTTGTATTGAAATTCACCATAAATAAACCTAGACTCTAGTTTCAATGGCAACCAATCATCATCCTTTAAATTATCAGGGTTGCCATACGGTGAAAAATACATTCTACGATTAACGCCCACCATTTTGTTAATATCTTTTTGTATATTAATACAAGCTTCTGTTCCATTTGTAATGGAAGTTTGTCTTAATATAATTCTACATTTCGATCTCTTGTTAATACCAAACTGTAAGGTTTTCTTGGTTAATTTTGTTAGCACGCAAAATCCACCTTTATTTTCCGCGTATGACATATAGTTATCTTCGTTGGTACTATTAAAGAAGTTATCAGTGTGATTTGTTTCTGTAAATGACGTTATTATAGGTAATCCAAAAATATAGCCAGGATTTCCACTTAAAGTTACAACTCTCTCTGACGAAGTATTGCCTATCAAAAATTTAACACCAATTTCTTGCATCACATATAGTGTCGGGGTTATTTTTTCAGCGTATAATTTGATAGTTGCGTTTACAATTTTCGAATCGTAAATGTTAAAAATATATTCCATTTTAAGAGCAACATTACAAACACTTTCTGCACATATTGGTGAGTGTAAACTTTTATTATAAGGCACGCAAATGTCTTGATCGCAATAAATTATCGTCCAGTTAGTACAATGGAGTGAAGAACAATTCTGAAAAATAATTTACAATTTAAGTTTTGAAAAGCAAAATTTAAAATCACTAAAATTTTAGGCGACAGGCGACTTTGGCGATCTCTTGTGTCGGAGGCCAAGACCCACTTTGGGTCGATGCGCCAGCGGAGTAAGTAAAATTTTGAACCGTACCATAACTGTGTTATTCAACGATTTACTCGTTACGCTGATTACAAAACGATTCTTCCACTATTTTAAGAACGCGAAACATTCCCAAATCATTTAATTTGATTTGACAATTAATATTTTCATTATTTAAAAATGTCATTGTACGTCTTACATTGCAGTAATTATTTATAACAGGGACAGGTAAATCTGTAACAAATAAAATGTAAATTATTAATAACAAAAACCATCTTAATCTTATAAAACTTATTTGATTATTTATGAAATATTTGTACACATACCTAAATAATAAATAGATTTGTTTCTTAGTATCCAAACAGGTTCACCGAATTTATAAATGTTCCTATTAAAATTATACGACTCGAGATGTTTTTGTTTCTCATTCCACAAAAATTCATCATTTACAGAGGCTTTATCAATCTAAAATTAAAAAAAAACACTTATTCTTTGATATGTTCTATTGTCTATTATCAAAGTATTTAAAATTTATCAGTACAAAAAAACTAAGATACGTCAGATATAAAATACCTTTGGTTTTTCTACAACTCTTTGATCGGGTAAGTTTGTTTTAGCTATACAAAGTAAATTTCCGAATCCAGTTCTGGTGGAAGTTTCGCCGCATTCTAAAGGATGTTTCTTTTGTTGCCAGAAGTTATTACATTTATCAAACAGTTCTTTATCGGATGAAGAACATTCTTCGTCACAGCAACAATTTATATCACATTGTTTGTACTGCAAAACATTAAACCTACTAAAATAATTTAAATAAAGATTTACTTTATTTAAATTATTATATGACCAATAGAGATGACCGATTTTTAAGTGATGTTTTAACGAACATTCATGTCAATTTAGTCTTCGCAAAATTAAATTAATAATATTTTTCTTTGTTATTTTAAACAAAATTTTGTTGCACATGAAGCGTAAATTAAATCAAACAATATTTCATAAATCAGGTATGGTTTAAAATATACGCTTACCAGCAAATTACAGTAACAGACATCCCCAGGTTTAGTTTTCTTTGTACCAGTATTAGGTCTGGTGGTGGTCGAGGACTCTTCAAACAACGTTATTTCCGTAACATTGTCTAATTCGGTGCTTGAGAGAATTTCAGTTGTGAAAGTAATATCCGTTGTGGTTCCATTCTCATCGTATACGTCAAATACCGTGAACGCAATCTCTGTGCTTGTTGATATTGAAACATTACGTAGAGAAGAATTTGGATATTTTGTTCCTGACAATTCATTTAACTTTTCATAGCCATTTTTATTGGAGCGATAATATAACGCTAGCTTATTTGGTTCATCTTTTAACATATCTATAGGATGTTTATTTATACTTTCGTTGTAGGCAATTGGATTTTCATCAAGCTCAACTTTTTCTTGTATAAAATCCATCACACAGAATTGTATAACAACAGATAATAGTGTAAATGCGAAATATGTGAGCGGTCTCATTTTTCTACTTATATTCTACACCGAATTGAGTGAAATTCCTAAATATAACGTCTAAATTTAATTCTATATTGCCTTTTGATTGAGTTGTTAACTTATATCTGGAAAACAAAGAAGAATTTTGATGAAAAAATATAAATCACAATATATAAAATTCATCAAAAAGCGAGTGACGACTCAAATAATGAAACAGAATCTGGTGGACGAAAACTGGTGTATCTACCCTACATAGGTGGGATAAAGACAGGGAGATAATATATGATATACCTATCAACGCCTAAGCTAATGACATCAGTTTGTGTGATTTGATGCGATCCACCGAGAAAATATTGTCTAATTCTATCCGTGATTGTGGTAGGCGCTGGTGCCCAGCAAGGCACCTTTAGATCATAATTCCCTGGTGCAGTTGGTATGCTACAACAACCGTATCCAACTATCCATGAACGTCCTAACGAATCCAAACAACTCACTTGGAAATTAATTTTTGGCCAACCTGAAAAAAAACAAAGTAAATTTACTTCAAAACAATTTTTTTTTCACTATTGCTATACTGAGGACAAGAACCTTTAGTGTAAATTACGACCAATTAAGGTCTCTGAGTATGGCAGTCAAACGATATTACGTTGCATGTTGAAATATATTATGCCCATAGATTATATACCTGAGATTCCTTTCGTTACGTAGTGAACGTCGATAGGATGAGACCAAAAAACATAATTGTCATAATTCGGCTTCCCTGATGTGGTTTGTCCCTCTGAGCATCCGGCAATGAACGTCCAGTTCGGACCTTAGAGGGTACATTATTGGTAATCAATAAAAGTTGATAGAATCGATAATACTATAGAAATGATATACATACCCGCTTGAAACGAAAATCTACAAAACAATGACGACGAATCTTCAAAATTTGTAACACCCTGTATATCACCCAACAAATGTAGCTCCGCCATTAAATGATCACAATCCTCGGATTATTATTAATTCACACATTATAGAGTTATTTTACCTTTTTGAAACATTATAAATATCTTAACACCGCAACTTGAGCATTGTTTGTTATTCTGTTGCTATGGAAACATAATTTTAAAGCCAACCTTTTTGTCTATGGTCAACGATATTTTTTATATTCTTCAGATTTCCAAAAGGTTTAACAAAAAGTTCCTACTTGCTGATGGCAATAAAAATACGGCTATTTTTAAATCAAATATTTAATTAACATCAAATTAAAAACGCGATACCAAATCAAACGTTTCACATTTTTTTAATTTTAGATTTATTTATAATAAAAATATATACATATATATACTGATATTTATTATTATTGTATTTAAAACATTTAAGATTATTTATATTATATGCATAAGTATAAAAATCAGATATTTAAATGCAAAGATACTAGACACAAGTCCAAAGACTTAATACTTATACATACTGAAGCATATTCGTTTTGCATCATTAGGATTATTCATATCTTGTTTACACAGAAAACTATTATAATATATATTTGTTTTGTGCAAATGCTTGACTGAGCTGTAGGTATAGTCTGAGGCGAGAGTAGTGAGAGGCGCTGCTATCGCGGTTAGTTATGTCGGAAAATATGTAAAAACTACATGGGAAAAGAAAAACATATGACATCTATAGTCCAACGAGGACGTTATGTCAGTTTTTTGACATAATTTTGTCCAGTGACATTGTTAGTTCACATATTTTCCGATACCATAAGATCCTCGTTAAACTATACTGATGAGGGCTGACATTACTAATGTTTACTAGGGTTGCCGGTTTTTTGCGCCTATTTTAGCTCAGTAGCAATTGTACAACTGGTTTATTATTGTAAAAAAAATAAATGGCACTATTAACTGTGGAAAAGCATAACAAAACGGTGGGATCAGTTTAAGGTTGTAACTTCCAGTATGTTAAGTTGGTACCCTTTTATTTTTTGAAATATTTTTTTCTGTGTTCCGTGTACAGGGTACCATTACCAGTACTTATAAATAGGGTTGCCAGCCGGGGAAGAGTCTGGAAAGATTAGCGGGGTCTGTGGCGGCGTGCAGCAGACGAGCCACCTGGCCGGCCACCGCCACGCCGCCGCCTGCGCCGCCCTCCGCGCCGCTCAGCTTGCCGCACACCGACAGCAGAGCGCGCTCCGCCAGACCTGACCCCGCACCACTCTCCCTCTCCCTCTCTCCTACAGCTGCTATACCAACATACATTAATATTTAATTTAATCAAACATTAAATCTTCTACTGATTAATCTATTATAGGATTATAGTAGAAAGTGTCGAAATACTTTATAAACACATAAATGGTTAATCTAAAAACGTTATAAAACTTCAGATGGAAACTACTGGGGACCTACGCTTTTTCTGCGTCGGTTGTGTAAAAAGGGATGATATTTTGCTGTCACCAAACAAATGTGATACTCACAGCGTGCAGTGGTCTTCTTCAAAGCGCCTTTGACCGTCCAGGAGTAGAGCGGGTCGCACAGCAACACCTGCAGGATGGTCAACAACGTCTCCTGGTTGTCTCGCAGCAGTTGCATCGTTTTCTCAGAGCACCTACAAGAAAAAAAATCACATTTTAAGGTTATTTTCTTGACGAATTCATCAATCGTTTTATAGAAAAGTAAGTTGTTATTTCATCAATCAGAAATACCTTCTGAATATTCCTTCAATTCCGCAGCATCCAAAACCAGATATAATGTCCTGTGTTAATCGGAAAGGTATAGTTTCTGGAGTTGGCAGAGCTTTTCCTTGATCAAACGCAATACCTAAAATAAAAAAAATTACATACTCCAATACATTTTGATTAAATATTTACTAAGATAAAATATAATAATTTTACCGAAATCAATGTGAACCACCTCGCCGGTCGTCTTGTCTATCAAAATGTTATGAACGTGTCTGTCGCCTAAACCCAAAATATATCCAACCATTGATGATGTGGCAACACTGAAAAACACATGAAAAATTAAATGTCTTCATACGATTTCCTTTCACATGCAATTAAAAAAACAAGCAGCTTTACTTGAAAAATGACATTAACACTTTTCAATACAAATGCTTGAGTAGCTATTGTTTTTTTTTTTAAATAATTTACACAGACGAAACCGCGAGCGCCATCTAGTGACATATCTTACCTTCTCGTGTAAGCCAGTCTACGTTCGTACCAAGTGATGGGGTCGTGGTAGTGCTCAGTGAAGAAGTTGTGGAACACCGGCTTGAAGTTGGCGAGGATTTCCATGAACGCACGCAGTTTGTCCTGATTCGACTTGCGACCGTCGTGACACGCCTTCAGCTTGGCCCGAGCGGCTTCGGGCGTTATATCCTAAAATATCATTTCTATTAATGTCTAGTATTTACTGAACTCAAATAAACATCAATAAAGATATTTTCAGTAAAATAGAAGTGTGAAAGGAAAATCTCTTCAAGATTTTTGTAAAATTATAGTATGTTTTATAAATGTCAAACTAAACCGACAAGTTGTCGATTAGCCCTCTTAGATAAAGTGCATTCACCTCGAAGCCATTCCATAACGAAGTTTAAATATGTATAGAACTGACACGCGACAATCACGTGACTTATCAAAAGTTACCGTCATTTCTATACATTTTTCAATTTCGTTATATTATAGTCATGGAAAAAAAGCAGTTTGTCTATGGTTTAAAAAGAATTTTTTATATACTTTGGGTCTATAGCGAATGTGTGCGTCCCGCAAATAAGCTCCCAGCGGTGTAGTGCCCTCGCACCAGCCCAGCACCCCCGACCGCCGCGACATTGGCACCACCTGGCAAATTTATTCACAATATTATAAGTAATAATTAATTAAGAGGTGTCCAAATTTTATTAGACACTAGTTGTCGCCCCAAACTTCGTCCGCGCGGAAATTAAAAGTAAAACGTTATTAGTACGTAGACTATGTGTTCTTTTAGACTATGTTGTACATCTATGACAAATTTCAGCGAGAAATGCAGTCGTTCTGGAGATACCATGTAACAGATATCCATGTATCCATCCATCCATACATTCACATTTATATTATTACTAAGATATCTAATATTAATTACTAAGAGTACCTTGTATGTGCGTATTAAAAGTTTATTCTTCTTAGTGATTGGATTATTTTCGAGCAAGGTGTTAACAATATTGAATACTTGTTGCATTACCGCATCCTGTCTTAAATCATCTTCGCCCTGAAATAGTTATATTTCTATTGAAACAATCGGGTTTCTGAAGTAAATATATAATTTAATATTAAAGAGTTAGACATTGCGTACCTTTATTAATAAAATTCTGGATTTCCCATCTGAACTGCGACAAGAAATTTTCTTCGGATAATTTATACCACCAACCAATTCGAAGTGGTTATCAAATGCTGTTATATCTAAAGAAAAAAAAATATTAAATTAAGTCTTAAAAATTGTCATTTTGTTCATTTGTGATGTTTTTCACACCTCCAATTGCTCAACAACCTAAATAACTTATACTTACTGGGTAAATTGGAATAGTCCCCGTTATGTTGTATAGGTATAGTGAGGGTGGGTATGGGCAGGGAGTCGAGGTGGCGCAGCTTGGCGAGCGGCTCGGCGGCGGGGATCGCCTGCCGCTGCGGCTTGCCGTTGCTCATTTTCGGCGTCAAGTATGCGAAGCTGATGAAAGCTAAACAAAATTGTATTCAGATAAGTTGCAGCACTAATAGCCTAGTGGCTAAGGGTGTATATGTAGTCGAGGGTTCGAATCCCGACTATTGTACACTATATCCTAGCACAAATTAATACCTTATTTGGAATGGTACTAGAAATTAGAAATTAAAGTAAATTAAAAAGAATCTGCTAATACTTTATAAAAAAAACTTAACCTATATGCCGTCAAATGAAGTAAAGGCAACAGTTAAATAGCTTATTCTCATTTTAAAAGAGTTCACTTTCAAGGTAAAAAAATGTTACCATCACAGAGTAGTTCCATTTGTGATATGATTGTGTGGAGGTCAGGTCGCTGCGAGAGTTCCCGCACGAGCACGTCCGCGGCGAGTACGCGCGGCTCCGCCACCGACGTGCGCGCCACCTTCCCGCCCTTGCTGGAGTTCAGTATCACATTGTCCTTGTCAGAGTTCTTCAAGTTGAACAGTATGGGTAGTGTGTGGTGGGGATGCTCGATACCACATCTGCCTACAAGAAAAACGATACATTTCATGTTTTTTTTTTATCTCTCGGTAACGAAGAATTTTTCCTCATTTCGAAATTCGTTTACGTTCTTGGCTTGTAAATTTCAGATTCGTGTAGCGTTATTTTTATTACTTAATAACATGGAATTTAAAAATGCGTGCAATTAAAAAAACACTAGTAAGCAGCCTATTTCTTCTTCCAGACACTTTTCTACAAGAAAATTTTCATCCAAATGCATCCATCCATTTTTCATGGTAATATTAGTACTACGACTTATCAACGACAGAGTTATTTGAAGCCAAAAATTTGTAGCAATATTTTGTGACTATTATTACTCCAATAATATGCAACTTACCTAAAATTTCTTTGAGAGATTTAGCAAAGCTACTCTTGTCTGTATTAAGACGTGGCGCTAACTGAGGTAATACAGTGATGAACTTCCACGAAGGTATAGCATTCAGCAGATCACGGAAGCTGGATGCAGATGTATCACTAAACTCAAAGTCAGGGTTGTCAAACCATAAAGATATCACTCGGAATATTGATAAATTGTTATCTTCGCAATGCTTCAATGACAACATGTAGTATCTATAAAATTTTAAAAAATATATTTTAGAATTTCACAAAGAAAGTTGGCTACAACCCTGAATAAATTGAATTGATACTGTACCTTAGAGCTAAATTGAGAAAACTTTTCTTTTCTGCTCTTGTATTGGACACCTCAGCTTCATCTAACTGCATGAAGCGATCGTTTGTGAACAAAGCTTTCCTTTCATCTCTGAAATATCACAATTTTACATATGACAAATTTCATGGTCCACTATTGTTTTATACCAGTCTTTCCCAAAGTGGGCGATAACGCCCCCTTGTGAGCGCTGGAGGTCAAGTTGCAGGTTATAGTAAAAGTTTCGTTTAGAATTCTCCGTTAATATATATAGGTCACAATAATTGATTAATTTAATTTGAAGTTATAGTAGTTTTTAAATATGTGAAAATATGGGGGCGCTAAATGTTTATTCTCAAAGTGTGCCCACGTAACAGATTAGAAAACAGTACTACTGCCGTAGACAAAATGAGTTTGGGAACCACTGTTCTATACTATCACTCTTAACTGTTTTCTAAACTGATTGAATTTCAAATATATTCTTACTAATATTATAAATGCAAATGTTTAGATGGATGTTTTTGCATAGATGTAGAAAAGGTCTGAAGGAACACATAGGCTACTTAATAAGTTTTTGTTTAATTTCGCGCGGACGGAGTCGCGGGCGACAGCTAGCGTTACAAAACGTGCGAAAACATTTTATAATTTGTACTTACTTAGTTAAAGATGTTTGTGAGCCTTTTAGTGAGGCGGCAGTTCCTTTCATATTGTCGATACATTTTACTTTATTCTCGAAAATTGTTGAATTCATATACGAGACAATCTGAAACGGAAAATATTTAATAAAATATATTGTGACGTGTTATTAAATTAACTACTGCCACGCTCAGCCATTAAGTGATTATTAAGCAACCCTTAGTTTTAATTTGTCATATTAATTCTAATCAAAGGCAATTATTGAAATTTAACCTGTTTATATTCCGAGTCTGCAAATTTTGCAATATCATGATACACTTTGAACGTGGTCTCTGCATTGTCGTCTTCATTTAACAATTCGAGACTCTTTTCTAAATATTTATTTATTATATCTCTAGCATTTTCTCGCTTACATTCTGCCATCCAAAGACCGTATTGCCTGAAAAGTAACGCGATATTAGACCCCTTTTCCTCCAAGCTAGTAGACTGCTATTTGTATACTATTCAAGCGACTAGTCGCGATAGTGGAAAGAAGTCTTAAATCATACCTAAGACACATAGCAGCTAATTTAAGGTCAGAAGATTGGTCAGTTTCAACTCCGTGCAGTGATGCGAGAGCGATGTCCTTGTGACCCTTCGCCCACGCAACTTGACTTTCCTTTAAACATACTTTTTCTGATGATTTCATTTTCTTTACGGATTCCAAAAGTCTTTGCGCCATTTGCACTCTTTGATTAGAGAGACCCATATCTATAAAAATACAAAAAAGGTACAGTAAACATAACATATATGACAGATTTTTTTTATAAGCAAAAATGAGTCAAGTATACGAACCGACATATTGTAATTGCAAATCCAAAATATCAGTAGAGAAACTTTCATAATGTTTAGCCGCATGTTCTAGTATTAAACTACGTTGTGACAGGAGAGTTTCAAGATGGCGGAAATCTTTAAATGACGGCAACTTATCAACTTGCCAACGATCCAGTAAGTCCGTGAGATCTGTGTGGTCGCACCTTAGTGAACAATAATCTTGTATATCACGTAATAAATGTAAATTTGCGACCACTTTGTAAACGCTCTGACAATTCTCCATATTTAGAATCCGGCATAATTTGGAAGTGGCCAATTTCGCTCTATTAAGTGCAAATTCCAGCCTAGCTTCGAAATTTTGATTAGCATCCGCGTTCAAACTTTCCTTTAGACATGCATATCTCAGTGATTTTATAACAACATCGGGATTCCATAGAGGCTGTTTTGTCTTTTCTTCTAGTTCTTTAGTATCGACAACTTCACTCCAATCACCTACAACAAAGCGATTATGAGACAATGACCTTACATCATCATGACATCATCAGCTCACTATACGTCCCCACCGAGGGGCTCGGAGCCTACCCTAAGTTAAGGGTGATTAGGCCATAGTCAACCACGCAGGCCCAATGCGGGTTGGTTGACTTCACATATCTGAGAAGAAATTCAAAGATTGCATCACGATGTTTTCCTTCACCGTAAGAACGTTGGATAAATGTACATATGTAAATCGAAAAACACATTGGTACATGGCGGGATTCGAATCCAGGATTTGCAGATTGCAAGTCAAGTGCTTGGCCACTGAGCCACCGACGCTCCCAATGAGCTTACGATCTCTCAGAATTATTATGAACGTTTTTTGTCTCGATAAAAACTCACCAAGGTAAGCTAAACAATCAAATTTGACGTCGTTCAACTCATCGTTTTCAGGAAATGATTTGATGTACTGCAGAGCTAAATGATGCATGCCGGACTTATGTAGGGACATGACGACGCCATGTTGCAAACGGTTGTCAGCCTGATTGCCGTGAGAGAGGACGATGTCATGCAAGAGCAGAGCATCCGCGTACTGGCCGGTGTGCAACAAATGTTTGCGTCTCTCTTCCTCGCTCGTTAAATGAGCGGTGCCGCAACCGTCTATTGCGTCTAGTTCACCAATCGAAACAAAGCACTGTAACAAAGCGGTATTTTTTATAATATCTGCGAAACCCAACTTGCGATTGAACCCCTAAACTAAATATATTTTGAAGAAGAAAAAAGTTTTTTTTAGTGATTTTTTCTATTTCTACTATGGCGTTTAACGTGTTAATGTTACGTACAAAGGCTATCCTACTGGATAATCTTACTTTCTACTAATATTATAAATGCCAATGTTTAGATGGATGGATGTATGGCTGATTATTTTAAGGTATCTCTGAAACGGCTCAAAGGATTTTGATGAAATTTGGCACATATATAGAACATAGTCTGGAAGATATAAGAAAGTGAGTATATAACATACATTTCTGAGTATTCTCTGCACGTGTTCCCCGCCGGGCAGACAGGCGGTGTGGTCCGGCGAGGCGGGAGGGACGTCGTCGTTGTGCGCGGCCGCCCACAGCTCCGCGTAATATATGGCCGCTATGTTCTTGTCCGCCACTGTCGCTGCCCACGACAGTTTGTCGTATTCCAGCTTCAAATACCGCAAAGTATCCGCTTCTCGACACTTCCTATATACAGTACGTTTCAAGTAAGAATGCGTAAACTAACAACATAATGCAAAGTCAAGTGAATGTATGGATGTTTGTTACTACGTAACTCCAAGACGGCTTAACGGATTTTGTATGGAAGAACAAATAAGCAACTATCTAAGTTTTATTTATAATTCAATATGGACGAGGTAGCCGGCGATAGTTAGTAAAATAATAATTAAAAACAAGAGTACATACCGTATTTTAAGATGGTTCGTCTGCAGACGTATAGCGTTGACGATGTCCAGTAAGTAGTGCACTATCATCTTCTGGTCATGATCTAGAATGTTCGATAGCTTGGAGACGGTGCTATCCTCGCTGGCTGTGGTGTTGTCATTGAAACTTCTGCTCCAAATGTAATTGAAAACTGTATTTATTTGTTGACCGATGACTTGCATTAAATTCTCCGAAGAGTGTTCCAGTAGTAATCCTACCAGTGAAGGCAGGATTTTTTGACATATAGTAGGCTGTAACAAGTAATTAAATAATCTTACTAATATAATAAATGGGAAAGTTTAGATGGATGTATGTTTGTTAGAAGATATCTCCGGAACGACTCAACAGATCTTAATAAAATTTGACAAAGGTTAGTCTGCAAGAACATATAGGCTATTTATTAAGCTTATTTTTTATTCCACGCAGACGAAGTCGCGAGCGACAGCTAGTTAATGAATATTAGGTTATAAAAGACATATGTTCTGACTTTAGATACTGACCATTCCTAAAAGTCATCGCTAAAAGAGTAAATATTATGTAGCATTTGTAGAAGTTAATGGAACACCAAATGAAAAAAGAAAAAAAAGGATCTTTGCGGGAATTTTGATATTTTTTTTTATTTAACGGTCTAGTCTGTTTAAGCTTTTTTTTATTTTTTTTTATCAGGGGAATCTTCGTAATATACCTTTTGGGGAAAAGACAGGGTTATGTGAGATTCTTACTCACTAAAACTCCCTCGGTGGCCAACCTCTAATGCGTCTGCGAGGGTCCCGGGATCTAGTGTGTTTAAGTTAAGCAACAAAAGCTCCAGAATCTCCTATAATAGTTCTAAACAGATTAAATATTTGAAGTGAAATACCTTAAGTCTGCATAAAGTTCTTAAAGAACTAAGATAATTTAGTGGTGATTCTAATGTTTGTAACAGATCTACTGTGACCCGAGTTATCCATTGGAAATGATCTTCTTTGATAACAGGAGTCCAATCTGTGGGTACACTTCGAACTTTGAACTGCGCGAAGGATTCGCATGTTGACGGCATAAGACATTTTAATATTTGACTCTGGACTATTCCCCATTCTGAAACGAACCAAACATTACTGTAGGATCATCATAAAAGTTAATTTCAATCCTATAAGTGCTTTTTATTTTAACACATTCATCGCCGCCGATTTTCTTAGTCCACTTTAGTATATTTTGTAGTGGCATTGAACGTGTTAACAACAATTTTGTTTACTATTTCTGTTGTTAGTTTGAAGTTTTTCCTTACCTATATCAATTAATTGGCCATCTTTAAATTTCATCAAATGTAATAATGCTTTGGATACTTTCTCACTCACAGTCGGTGTTTCTTTAAATATAATTTCCAACAATGCTTTAACAACTGTTATTGCGAAGTATTGCGTTGGTTTAATATTAACGAGCTGTGTCGTATCCTTTGGTGGTACTGTTACTAATGTTTTTAAATCATACGTCCCGACTTCCGCAAGACAATTACTAGCTTCCACGATCATCTAAGGGAAAGATAAATTTATAATCAAAAAAACTAAATTAATCTTACTTCTGATTAATATTACAAATGCGTATGTTAGATGAATAGATGGATGGATGTTTGAAGGTATCTCCAGAAATTTGGTATACATATAGTACATAATCTGGAAGAACACAAAGGCTACTGTTTTATTTTTAACTCATAATTATGGTTTTAACTCTACGCAAACGGAGTCGCGGGCAACAGTTAGTGTAAATACATTTTTTTTATTTAGTGTTAACCTTTTCGTTTGTCGTCGTCCTTAAAATATTACATAACGCAACTATAATCTTATGTATCACACTGTCTTCACAATCTTCAGAAAATCCTTTGTTATCTAATTTATTAAATGCGGCGCTTAAAAATTTTTTGTGCGCGCTTAGAAACTTTCTCATACTGGACAGTGTTGCAATGCTGAAAAATATAACAATTAGATGTTAAAATAATAGTAAATATAATACGAAATGTACCAAATTCTATTTTTTTTTCAGTAATTCCAATTTAGAGGGACGGTGGTTCAGGGGTTAAAGCACTTGACTTGTAACATGAAGATCCTGGGTTCGAATCACGCTATGTACCAATGTGTTTTTCGATTTTAGATTTACATATGTACATTTACCCGACGTTCTTAGAGTGAAGGAAAAATCGTGATGCCACCTGCACATAGCAAAGAAATTTAAAGATATGTGTGAAGTCAAACCGCATTCGACTAGCGTGGTTGAGTATGGCCTAGTCACCGTTAACTAGTAGTGTAGGTTTCGTAGGGACGTGTAGTGAGCTGAATTATATTTACCTTGCATATGATAAATTACGTTCATATTTTTGCAATTTTTCCAAGAAGTTTTCTTCTGTAAGACATGTTCCTGTACTGACTTCAGTTAATATGTTACACATAGCTTGCATGTCATCGTCGACATTTTTAAAATTTATCATAACATATTTGTAAACTGCATTACATTCAGGAGATTCATCTTTTTTTATTGACAGTATCGATAATAAATGTACAACTGTCTCCTTTTGAAAGACTTTATTTTTATTTGCACAAACACGTGATAATATTCTAAATAAAGCTTTGGAGAAAACATCTAATTCTTTTTGAATCTTTGTCTCTTTTATAACTCTAGAGATATTGACGCATGAAAAATTATATATAATTACGTCTGACGGATATCCTAAAGGTATATTTTCGATATAAACTATGAAGGTATATAACAACATGACCTTGAAAGCAAATATCTTTTCGGATAGTACTAACTCCCACAGAGTGAATAAATTTTTTAACATAGCAAGTGGCTGATCTTTACAGAAACATTCCATTATGTTATCATCAATAAGTTCCTAAAACAAAATAATTAAAATATGTACCTATAGATAAACCAAAATGGAGGCAGATTATGTCTAATTTTAAACATTCTTAAAGTGAACTTTGATATCAGAGTGTCGATGTCCGGACAGTTGCATGAATCTCGATGAAATTTGGCATATATGTAGAACATAGTTTGAATGTGATCTACATAGGCTACTAATTAAGTTTTTTTTATTGTATTTTTTAAGTAAGACGGAGTCGCGGCCGACATCTAGTTAATAAATAAAAATACTTACTCCAAAATACTTTAGAATTCCACAAAATATTTCCTTTGGATATGTGAATGATTCAATAGTGTTTGGTACATCAACGTCAAATATTTGTTTAGCATCAGCGTTATCTTTCAAATGTAAAGCTGTAAGCAACACAAGTCTGTCCATGTTCTCAACGAACAGTTTGGACCACGTCTCACTTTGCAGCATCTGTCTCATTTGCTGAAACATCCTGCAAGCCGCACTCGTTGATTCTTTACAACTAAATTTGTTAATATTCAAATTGTATTTTTCATTCACGATGTACGGTAAACTCAATATTATGATGTTACAAAAGCTTTCCTGAAAATAAATGTCATATTTATACTTATTGACTAATTAAAGACTTATCGTAGGTTTTCGAGACCAAAATGCCCGTTTAATACATATGTTTTATACAGATATTTTGGTCTCAGAAATCACCGTAAATGTAGCAGTAATACACAGGGTTACTAATAATTCAACCATTTCCCGTTATGTGCTATGGGTGACTATTTGGAATAATTTTAACTTTCATATGCATTATGCAAAAGTGAACCATTAAGTAATCATGATTCATTTTTAACTTATTTTAAAAAAACTAAGAAACCTGGATAATTCACTTTTGCATAATGCATTTAGGGGTTGACATTATAACAAATAGTCTCCCCCTTTTTTTCCAGAGAGGAATGCTTAATGCATACTCCGCGCCCCGGGGGGGACGCGGTAGTTATGTGGGATTCTCCTCCTTAGCGGAGGCATACCCACTAAACCTCTCTGTTCCTCCAACGCATCGGGACGGGGCCTCGGGCACGCTTTCGCTCTCCTTCGCGGCCGAATAGTCACCCCTATAACCTAATAGGAATATGTCGAATTACCTATATGACCCTTTATTACGTAATTTTAATATGTGTATATTACCTCCAAAATGGTTTCCTCCGATTGAATTTGTTTAAATTTTCTCATCATATCACTTTTCTGCATGTTACCCTGATGACGCCATAGTATATCGGCGGATACCAGACAATTCATATATCTTTTGTAAAACACATCACTCTCACAATTGAATAAGTACAAAGGTAAATTGTCTAAAGGCAATTTCTTTTCGAGCCAAAATTGCAATAAACTTAGTATATTCTGCTCGAGATAATTATCAAGATTTTTTTGTGTTACTTTATTCAATATAATATTTAAGAATTTTTTCACAGTTTGCTTATCCAGAGATTTCTCCCGTTGTAGAAATATAATTTCTTGCACGATTCGATGTATCCTTGAAGGTTTATTAAGCGCCAAAACGTAATATGTATGCAATAAAGTTGCAGTTCTGTTATTTAGTTCGTCTTTTAGAATTGTTTCCGTTTCATTTGATACCTTAAAAACAAAACATTACTCTATCTTACTAATATTATAAATGTGAATGTTTAGATGGATGGATGGATGGATAGATAGATGGATGTTTGAAGGTGTCATCGAAACATCTTAATGAATCTCGCTGATATTTAGCATAGATGTATAACAAAGTCTGGAAGAACTCATAGGTTACTTAATAAGTTTCTTTTTTAAATGCCGCGCGGAAACGGTCGCGGGCGACAGCTAGTAATTTTACAAATGTATGGATGGATGGATTGAAACTTGTTAAAAGGTATCTACGGAACGGCTCCACTACGGATCTCAATAAAATTTGGCATAGATCTAGAACATAGTCTGGAAGAACACATAAGCTACTTATTAACTTTTTCTAATTCCGCGGGGACGGAGTCGCGGGCGACAGCTACTTGTCAAATAAAAAAAACACAATGTATAAGACAAAAAATACAAAGACATTCTTACCTCAACCGTAAATAAATCCTTTAAATTTAATAAACAGGAAAGTTCATCTTCTTCGGTAAAGGCATCTGTCATTTCACTTATCAAGTACCCACAATACAGCCTTATAGAGTGTATTTTCCCCTTTATTTTGTCAATTAAAATATCTTTAAATGTTAGTTCAATAGGATTAGTATCTTTGTAGTTTAATATTATAATTTTTGTCGTACATTCATATACCAGAGCGGCTACTTGAGGTGGGTAGTACATATTTTCACATCTATGCAAGTAACTCTTCACCATTATCAAACAATTGCGACGCAAATTATCGCCGTGATGCCAAACTCTGTTCATTATTTGTAGCAATGTTTGTAAAATGCCTGCTGTCGCATTTGAATTGCGGAACAAATCTTTGCACATCGATTGCATTAATACAAATGTTAATTCTGAAATAAAAAACATAAATAAAATTATAAAAATTAAACATTTACTATGTTTTGCTTGTACATAAGGACTTAAGTGGGTGATTTAAGACCAAAATCCAAATTAAAAAAGTAATTTTTATAATACTATTTTGTTAAAGATAATGACAGATATGACTATATGTTTTGTACAGAGAGTTTGGTCTCAGAAACCAAGGGTTAATAATTTAAAAACAAGCCGAAACTCGATTAAGATGTTTAATTTTATTGCAAGGTTCCTATGTCCACCTTTCAATTCCATGATCAGATCAACACCATAGGTTTACATATCCAAAATACCAGCTTCAATAAAAAAATCAGGAAGTGAAAATTGCAAGATTAGATGACAAACATCGGGACAGGTGGAACTAAATAATAGCCTGGAAAATTTTATAATTTTTAAATGTAGATGTAATAAGTTATCTGGATGTAGCTGGATGTGGATCTTGACAGTGGTAGAGCCCGCTTTAACATCTTCGCACGAATTGGCCCGGCTCGTCCGGTGAAATACCACGACCACACAGAAGACAGGCGTGAAGTGGAAGCAATTCCGCGTTTCGTCTGATGAGTGTGCGTCCCGGAGGCCTAATTTAGTCCTCTTTCCCTTCCCACCCTTTTTCTTATAAGGAAAGGATGGGAAGTGGAAGTGGACTTTCCGGATGAGAGGATGCATGGAAAGGGAAAATATTTTCTCTCTGTACATCCTCTCCTCCGTCGATTAAAGGTAGGCAACGCATATGCAATTGCGTATGTCTATGGACAACGGTCACTTCGCTATTTCAGCGATTTCAGGTGGCCGCTCGCTCGTTTGCTACCTTATGATATAAAAAAAAAGCATGAATAATCTTTAATTACCTATAGGAGCATCTTCAATATCAGATTGATTCAAAAACCTTATGCATTTTAAAGCAAACTCTACATCCAATCGTGAAGAGAAATTGTATAACTTTGGATTTAAAATCAATTCTAGTAGTTCATCGCGATAGTTATTATTCATTTTACAATATGCTGCTAAGAAAAATATACAATTATGTTTTAAAACATTATAACTCATATCAGTGTCATTTTCGTCTTCATCTGAAGGTACATCGCTGTTTAAAATATCATTGATGCAATGAAAGATATCATTATCAATACAAATTCTCACATCATTATTTAACATTGTATCGTATTCTTCAAGAAGTATCAATTGCAATGTTCTAAGTAGAGCATTCTTTTCACTTATTTGTATTCCACTTTTTAATTTATTTAATGACATTCTGTATGCAATTTTAAGAATGCTTTTAAAATTATCATATATTTGTTCGGATAAAACTTTATGATGATTGTATTTTAATACGATATCTAAATATGTTAATGTTATTTTTAATATTTTTAAACATTCTATAATGTCAAAATCTTTGGTGTCAATATTTTCGTTACATTGTATAAGTTTTACTTGCAAATATTCTAATATTTGACAATTCATTTCATCATTCAATTCGAAAACTTGATAAATCTTTTGATTGTTTATTTCTGGTTTTGATATTTCAAATTCAAAGTCTGAATATAAAATACTCTTGTCGACATTTTTAAATAAAATATGATGTAAAAATTCATTTTCTATGCAACCAGTATTTTCAACATTACTAATATTTTCATTTAGCAATAAAGTTAAAAATAACTCTCTCAATATTTCCACATTTAATTCTGTTATTCGACCATTTATAAACCATTTGAAACATTTAGTACGACCATTGTTATAACAACATTTGCTGTAAAACTTTCTAAATAATATATTCAAAGTTTGAACACTACTATCACTGACGGGCATTCCTTTTTCATAGTACAAGAGTAATAATGGCTTAATGTTCATATAATTCAAGATATTCAATGATAAAATTGTTTGTAGTACCCCGTGTATTGCTTTATGAGATGATGTACTACTTGTTGAAGATCTGAAAACAATTTGAAGTATAAAATACTTTGTAAAAAAAGCCTATATATCATATATCATATGTTATGATATGATATTCATGTATTATGATTAATGATATCATATGTCATTTATTATATATGAAGGTACATAATTTAAGAACACTTTACAAAAAAAATCCTATAAACATTGCATAACTATTTCGATTATTACCTTACACAAGTCGTCCACAATGAATTTACACGTTCGATAAAACTGGTAAAAGCATCATCTTTTAATGTTTTTAAATTTTTCAACACTTCACAAGTTAAAGATTCAAATATACACCAAATTTCATTTATATTGTTGGTGCTAACAAATTCTTCTAAAGTCTTTAATAGCGTTTCATAATCAATTGTTGTTAAGGATGATCCAAAATGTTTTACATACATTTCTGTTATACCTAACCTAAAATTAATCACAGATGATAACTATAAATATATTCAAGTCTTTACCAATATTGTATTTATGAAGCATATGACTTATACTTTAAAAAAAAATAAAGTTTTTTTTAATATATTTGGACATACAATTCAGAATATCTTGTAATTCAAGAATATAATATTTCTCAGAATTAAAAATTAAAATAGATATGCAAATTACCAAGGTATATGATTTTGTTTGAACTCTCCGATTAAATCTTTAAACTTTTGATTTATATTGATAGTTGTTCTTGGTCTTTTTGCCGCTCTTTCACCATCACTATTTATATCAATATTTTGTGTGGACATTTTGAAAGTCTGCAAATAATCCACCAATAAGCAAATGGCAAATTACACTGACCATCCTTCTCCATTAAAGCTACCGACAAATTCCCGTTAAAATCTGGCTAACCATTATTACATCTTGTAACCGAAATATATTTTTATTTTTGATATTACATACAAACACTCCAATTTTATTAATCTTATAGATTCATATTATATGTATGTTCATAGAAGCTTAACCTCACAGTCTTACTAATATCATAAATTTAAAGTTTATATTGATGGATGGATGTTTGAAAGTATCTTCAGAACGGCTGAACAGATCTCTAATAAATTTGACATATATATAAAACACATTCTGGAAGAACATATATGCTCCTAATTCCACGCGGACGAAGTCGCGGGCGACAGCTAGTAATTATATAAAAGTGAACATAAAAAATCCATTGTATTTGCTTACCAAGTAAAACATAATCGCTGAAACTTGATTAAAATTTGTACATGTCAGTAAAACATTACTATGTCTATGGCTCTTTTGTATGTAATTTATTTCAAGTGTTATTAAATCCATGATACTTTGAAGGCATGTATTCCACATTTCCCAGTTATGTGCTTGTGCTGATTCCTCATTCTCTATCCGTCCTAAGGGATGATGAATTGCTATTGATGTTTGTAATAAGCTAAATACTTGCGACTAAAACAAACATTTTATTATATGAGTTGAAACAATACAAGTTTGTGAATGATGTAGAAAGCGGTGAAGAATATTGCTAATATTATTTTGAACATAAGTTTAGAGCTTAGTTGAAAAGTCATAGGTGTGTAAAATAATTACATAACAATTTCTTTACATTAGAAAGCATTTAAGATATATTGTTACAAAAATATATTTTTGTTTACAGCATGAAAAATAAATAACAAATAGGTATTCAAATTATCTTGCCTTTTTTTTAACATCCAAGTTTTGTTCATAGAATTCAAATATGACATGTAGATTCTTTTCAATAAACTCACACACACTTAATCGGTTTTCTAAATACAGCTGAAATACAATTAAAAAAGGTATATCAAAATGTGTTTTAAAATATTCAAAATATAAAAAAAAATAACTACACTTACCACATCTAGTATTAATGTAATAATATCAATGATAACTTCTAATATCTTCTTATTTTTGTTTATTTTATGGAAATATTTAGTAATATCAGATAAATTATTTCTCAATGAACATGCAAACTGACAACATTCCTTTGCATTTTTTATTACAAGCCAAAGAAGCTTTAACTTTGTGAAATCATCCAATTTAGATACCTTATCTAGGCATCCTGCTACACTAATATCGAGTAAATCTAAAAAAAAATCCTATATAGAGAGCAAAATAAATTCCACAAAGTACATAGAATAAAAGAATATTGACATTTGCTGAACTAACTTAGTACATGAAATTCTTGTAAATTTAAACATTGCATTAATTTACTTGAAAAAAATAATGATAAAATTGTTGCTTATTTATTGCAGCAATACAAAAGTGTACCTGACCAAGTGTAAGTGTACAAAAGTGTACTAAGCAATACCTTCCCATGTGGTTGGAGTGATTAGGCAGACATAATTTTCACAAGGTAGAACATATTTTTGCAACAAACTCATATAGGCATCCCCAATTGCATTTGTCAAATATTTGTTTCTTAATACAAACATAGCTGCTTCCATTATCTTATCACATTTAATATATGCTCTACCTGAAAAAAACGGTTATAGTTAAAATAAAGGTATTTCAAACAAAACAAAATTCATTTTTTCCTTGTTTTCTCTTTATCTTTCATCATAATCATCAGCCTTTGTCTACCAACTGCTTAATACATAGCATTTTCCAATTCCTTCCACAGTATCCCATCCTCCTCTATCTGCAATAAGCCATCGGTCTCCCTGGAGTGAAGCACTCCATGCTCTTGGTCCCCTACCATGGCTCACCTAGCATCTCTAACCCGATAGATATGACCAACCAATACTTTGGCCTACTAATTTTGAGAACTATGTTGTCTACTTTATATATTTCTTTCTTTAAATAATTAAAAAGATATTGATGAAGCATTTATATCAATATATTGCAATAATTACCTTTATTAGAACCAGCGACACATAAATGAAGTATGCTTACACATAATGGATATGTTACAGTATGAAATGTTTTAGAAGATTCATATTTTTCTGCTTCCTGAAAATACAAAATGACTAAATTGTACAAATTGTAAATCAATATTCATAGAATGGAATTAATATTGATGTAATATTATATTATAGTTCAGCAAACAAGTAACGAGAATTCTCCGAAATAGCAGGGCAACCATAACCAATAGACATTCACAACTGTGGATGCATAGCTATTAAGAAGCCGTTAGAATCAAAGTTATTTTATCAAGGGAATAAAGTTTTTTAATTTTCCTTCAAAGCCACTATGGATGTTCATGACTAATAACAATGGTACTTTTAGAATCAAGTAAATGGTTTAGAAAAAAAAATTGTTTAGGAATAATAGGGAAAAAACTGTCTTTGTGTAAAATATGGAGGTTAGTTATTTTACGTTTTATCAAGATTCCCTTGAATTGGTCTACCATCTAGGTTAACATTTGATGCATAGATATGGTGCACAATGTATTTTGACTTCTGGCTTCTGGGTAACTTATCTTTGCCCTAACCTCAAAATTAGAAAAATTCCATGTAATATGTACATACCTTCAACAAATAGTCAGTAATGATATCAAATAAATCATTCCAAGAAAAACCAGCTTTTTTTCGAGTATTGTCAGAAAGCAAATCAGGGACTGCATTTCTTGTAAGGTAATCTTTTAAGGTTTCCACACTTCGTTTCCTCTCAGTAGCTTTATTTGAACACAAATTTCCGCATATTTCCTTGACGGTAGTTTCTAATGACATCGTGTAAAATTTTCGAGGGTCCAAGCCCGAAATAAGTTAAAGGAAAATTATTTAATACCAAAGACCGGTTTCATGTTGGAAAACATAGAAAACAAGAGTTATTTAATAAACTTGTATCAGAAAAATCGAGAATGTTCAAACACATTTAAAACTATTTATACGTTTATCCTATGGCAAGTTTTTCAATTTTACAAGTAGACGCCGACTTGTTTATATCATTATCATTATTATGATTGCCAACAACGAGCATACAAAAGTCAAAGCCAATGTCATCTCAACATGTCATTTTAATTTTTTGACATTTATGCAAAACAGTGCTGCCAATAATAAATTTATAATTTCGGTAAAGAATATGTAACCAGCTAGAACCTGGTTAAGACCAGTTAAGGCGTTATAAGAGAGGTTTCCTTCAAAAATTCGTCTTAATCCGAAAGCCCAGTCAATTATTAATTTCAAAATTGTTCCGTAGTTTTTAAGTTTTTATAACAAAGGAAGTCTATACTCAAGCCATTATAAGTCTATACTTTGGCTTACTAGAAAATAACTTATGAATGCAATCATGTGAGCTACAATATTCAGTCGTTATAACCGGCATTCCTATCTATCCATTTATGCCTATGCTCATCCATTGAGGCCTACGTTCTGCTCCTTTCAAAAATGATCGTCTCGAAGAGGACTAAAAAACTCTGATGTGAAATAATTGCTTTAATTTATATGAGAAACGTAACACATTAAAATTAGAAAATAAATTGTTCTTCCAAAAGTTATGAAAAAAAAAAACATCAGATTTATGGCATGCTAATTCTGTTGCGGACACTAGCATATAATAGTCGTACGGAATCACAGTACCCTACATTACGACGTGAACCAGCAACAACAATGTAAGCATCACCAGCCTCTACTAAACGCTTAATCTTGCAATAGTCGAGAGCCGCTCTTACCCGATTTTCCACTTCAGAATCCCAAGCCGACTTCGCTCCTTCAAAATAATGTATTGTTCTTATCCCTTTGAAAAACCGTAGTTGTCTCGACGTGTGACAAGTTCTGGTTACCGCAATAATGGGACAAGGCGGTTTGACATGGGATAGGATCTTAGCTGTTCGACCAGAGTTTGTTAAGCAAATGATTACAACTGCTTGTGAACGTAAAGCAAGCTCAACTGCTCCAACGCATATCGCCTTAGTTGGTTCCTCTAAAGGGCTTTGCATCAGTTCAAAATTTCCATATATGTGAGGCTTCCAAATAATCCTCTCTGCGTGTCGACATATAACTGCTGCAGCAGCTAAGCAATGCTCAGCCATGCGAACAGCATCATAAGCTGGTGCAAATTTCCTTAATGGTGAATCATAATGTAACTCTAGAGAAACAACGTCTACACCATCTAAAACTAAATTAGCAATGTCGGAAACACATAATGTAGGTATCTGTTCATTGATTACAGCTTTGCTGATACACGGTTTGCCAAGATTATTACATTTAGATATGATAATTTTTTGAGCTATAAAAATTTTTTCAACGGGTAGATCAGTGCTCAAAACACTTCTATCCAAATATATTCCGTCAGCTTCAGTTAGTATATCATCAATATTATCTAATCCTTGAACGGTGTCAATAGAAGCGAACACTAATATATGATTTCCTTTATTGGACAGAATATTTCGAATATGCCGAATATCGTTGCCACTCTGAGCATTTGGTAGTAAAACTGCATCTATATCAGAAGAAACGGCCCATTTTATTTGTTCTTCTAGTTGTTCGAAGTTCTGCTGAGATATATCACTATGTGAAACAGACTCCACACTATCATTTTTATTTAGATTAGTGATTTCCCGTGGGACTTGAGAAATCTGTACAGCCATTTTAGGGCCAATAGTTCCACCAGTGACTACTGAACATTCTATAGAATCATCACCGACTTCAGAAACAATCAATTTAATTTTATTAGCAGTTAAACTATCAATAAACACTATATCATTAACCTGCAAATCAGTGAGATGGTCATATCCGATATATAAACAATCTGCAGTGCCGCATTCGCGCCATGTTGTATCCGTCGTCAAACGAATCGTCTCATTTTGCATAATCTCAACTGTTGTATGAGGTCCTCCTTTTAAGTCCCCTGAGACAATATCCGGCCCTCTGACATCAATTATAAGTGCTAAAGGATGAACGTATTGCAGTTCTGTACTATAATTGTAAACAGCTTGTCTAATACTTTGAATTATTTGTCCACATGCTTCAGGTTCTAGTTCTCTGATATTAAGATGAGCCACGGTCATCCCTGCAGCAATTAGTTTCTGTATTGTACTCGAATCTCTGTTGCTATAACCAATATCGCACATTAGTCCAGTTTTAAGTTCTTCACAAGGATTTTCATGTACATTACACGAGCAGTAATGTTTTAAAAGGGATTCCTTAACGCCGCTTTTTTTTAATTTCGGAAGCGATTCCAAAGGGATATGCCAAGGTAACGCCATTATTGAGTAAATTGGATCTTTAAGGAGGCTAAAACAAATTAAAATTCTTACTTTATAAAAAAATATCAATATGGCTAATATATCAAGAGGCAATGTCAAATTTAACATATGTAAAAAGTTTATTCTTTTGATAATGTTTTACCAGCTTTTTACATAGTTGAATCCAAAAAGTTTTTGATTTGACACATGAAAGATGCATTTTATCAGAACTCAAGCGTTATAGAAACTTTGACTTTGCAGAATCGGACTTAGCGTAGAGCCGTTTGTTGTGTTGCCGAATACAAATTGTGACTTTTCGTGGAGAAAATCGGGTATGAAGAAAATATGATAGCCATACATGAGCATATCTTGCTGACAGCAATTTTTTATGTCCATGTAGATTTTACATATTATTAACAGAGCTAACCGCGATAGCAGCGCCTCTCTTATAGGGCCAGATATACTTGTTTGACCACACATAAAACATACAACCAAGCAAGTTTTGAAATTATTGCTCGATTTTGACAGAGATAATTGAGCACACATGGTCTTGGTCTTGTCTCTTAAATATCAAAGCAAAAAAATTACCGTATGGGCCACGTCAGAGTGTATTAAATTCTAATACTCGTAAACTATCTTAGAATTAATTGGTACAGAAATAATCAATAAGTAAAATATTTCCCTTAATAATAATAATTATGTAATTAAATATTGCAAATCATCAGCTTATAATAACAAATTTTAATAAATATGGATGTTAAATTTTTATATTAAAAAATGCATCGCACAATTATACATAAGAACTAAATTTAATGAATTAAAATTTAAATTATTTTTATTTAACTCCAGGGTAAACAGTAAAAATGTTTGACTTTTATTTGACAAAAGACCTTGTTAAACCTACCATATAAAAAAAAACATGGACGGATTGGAAAAATTAAAAAAAATTGGTTTGCTTAACGAGGTTGCATGACTGCGTGTCACGTTAGGTCTTTGGCAGAATAATAAAACGCTATAGTTTATTTTGTCAAGATCTAAGGATTGTTGAACTTCTCTGTGAAGTGATTTTTCAGAGTTAAGTGTTTTAAGTTGTGCCTATACTGAACTGTTTTTCTAAATCAGTAAAACGAACTACTATTTCTTATCCCTTACGTTTGTACTGTGCGACCGTGAAGGTTGAGAATGTTACGTCATTTTCCCTCTAGTGTCTTGTAGAAACATATATATTTTGGTTTGTTTGGTGTATCAGTGTTTTTCACAAGATATTAATAAAAATAAGTGGAAAGTTATAGCCAGTGTATCGAGTTGTTAATAAATATTGGCGCTCTTACACCGGCTGCGACAAGATGCCGCCATGTTATGTAGTTTTGCTGTCAACTACTGGTCGCGGTTAGCCCTGCTTTATTACCCTTGGAAGATTTATCTTTGTTTGGATTAATGTAAGTAACATTTCTACCTTTTTTACTACTGATCCTAAAGTAGCTATACTATAAAATACTATTAGAGGAATTGCTGTGTGGTATTGTTTACTGCAGTTTATTGACAGTCAATGTATTTATGACGTCATGGAGCGAGTTCACTTGGAATTGTAGGCTTCTAAAACTTGATACCATCGTCTATTGCCTATTTAAATAAATAGATATAATTGTTAAGTTCGCTCTGTAATATCTATTAAATTTAATTTATATTTACGTATGTACATATTTCTTAACATTTTTAGGTAAGGCAAAAAAAAACATATTTGCAATCTAATTTTTTTTTATAAAACTGTAATGTAATAAAATTTGTGGCTTTACTAATTTATTACATTACGAACCATTTCGATATTATTATATTGCCTAAGTGTAGCTTTGTGTCATACAATTACTTGTTGCAATTAGTTTTAGGTTATTTTATATTGTTACATGAGAAATGATTCAATCTGTTTGTCATGCTTATTTTATTGCTAGCTGTCTTATAGAGATTGACTTGTATGTAACAAAGTATATTGTGAATTTGAAACATGTAAACCAAGTAATGTATAAGAACTTTACTCATGTAAAATAGAAGTCATAAATTATTGGATCAAAAACATACATACATTGTTGTCAGCACAACTCATGCCTCATGCAACTCATGCAAATGAGTGGCAAAAATTTCCGTTTGGAGCTGTTTTGGCACACATCTCTAAGGTCTTGCACATTCATACATGCTTTTATGGTTTTGGTGCTCTTAAAAGTGTCCCGACCTTAGTATCTTACCAATTTAGTCAAGTAATAAACAGTAACAGTTTGGGTATTGCTTATCTAGTACACATTTGGTTAATTTGTAATCTTTAGATATTATGCCAGTGTCTTAAAGCGATATGATAAAGTGAGTTGCTACCACAGATTTTGCATATGCAAATGCTAAATAATAATTTTTTACAATTAATAGATTAAAAATGGGTGTGATTTGTCAGTGTAACCAGTGTTTGGTAACTTGAAAATTGATGTAAACTAATATTTTGACCTATCCTAAGACAAATCTGAAGAGAAGTTACTTCTTTTGTATCCCATAAAAGATGTAGTTACATCATACATTTTGGATGGACAGGTTGATTTTTACTGGTGCTTTACCACCCTGTTTTGCTATGCATTAGTTTTGTAGCCTTTCATAGTTGTCATACTTCTGCTAAC